ACAGGACACCCCCTCCCAAAAAATTGCCATACCTGCCCATCATTCCTCTCTCTTTCATTTTATTTCCGTGTTACACAAAGACACCTGTCATAGCATTCTGTGTAAATTACTACCTCTCCCAGGACCTGTATCTACAGCCAATCTTCTTTTTACACTTAAAAAAAAAAAAAAAAGAAAAAAAAAGAGAAAAGGAAAAAAAACCCCAAACCCGGAAACCAAATGACTACTGTAGACACTCTTTAAGTTCCCTGTCAATCGTTTCATTATAGCAGCATCATCTGTTTGAAAATATAAGCAATTCCCTCATCTAATTATAGGGAGGATTTGAGGTTCATTAACATTGCCAAGGCAGAGAATCAGATGTGCAACTGCAGAGCTGTGCTCAGTGGCCTGCATTCTCTGTTTCCTTTTATTTGCTTTTTCAAGGTCTCCAAGACTTTTTCCTGAAACCATAAAAGTAATTCTTTCCTTCAAAATAGACACGTGTGTTTAGAAAAAGGAAATGACTGCATTTTGTACTGTTCTATTATTGGGCAAGGTCACTGGAGAAAAATAATTTCACCTAAATCATTTTATCTCTGATTCTGGATGAAAAAAAAAGAATAACAGTATGCAAGCAACCGTTACTTTTGAACAACAGATCACAGAAAACGTTGCGTTTGTCTCATAATTTTAAATATTACAAGGTAATGCGGATGAATAGGAAACCTAACATGCCAAGAAAACATCTTAATTTTCAACACATTTTGTGGTTGTTTATGGATTAATGTGCTAGCCAAGTGTAAAATGTTGCCTTGTATTTCCTAACTGTGTTTAGAAACTGAGAACACCAAAGTCTTCATGATTGCTTCACTTCCTTAAAGAAATAATAGCATTTTTTTTTTTGGTATGAATGTAGTTTAAACAATGACATTTTCTCGGGACATCTGTTTTGAGATCACATTTTGAATAGATATGAACTCATTTCCTACTAAGCAAGTAATTTACTATTGTTGATAGTTGTTTACAAGTTTTATGAGTCAGATTTTAGCAAGTGGCAAAGGTCTTTACAAATCCTTTGAGTATTCCCTAAAGTATATGCATAGTGTTTTCATTATATAAAATGTTTGGGAAGCAAAAGTATAGGGACTGTTCTTCACTTCCTACCAAGTTATAGATAGCAAAGTCTAGCTCACAGAAATAGCTTTAAACATATTTATTTTCAAAGGCTTCTATCTTTTGCTGCTGCTGGTTAATGAAGTATGATAGCAGGGCAGTAAGTACTTAAGCAGCAAGGAAATAATTGAGCTGCTCTACCTATCTCTAACTTTGGAGTATTAGATGGTAAATATACAACTGATCCTAATACCATCCTAAGATGTTAATATGACAAAGAGCAGAACCTCTTCCATGAAACTTAAGTTTGACCTTGTCACTCTCTTTAATTCTGCAATTAAATTAAAAAAAAAAAAACAAACTAACACACAGCATAATCTTTTTTTTTGTTTGCTGCCATACAGAATTCATTTTTTAAACAAAACCACAATAATTTATCTATCCTGCATGTTGTATGTAGAATTGCCACTAAAAAGAACCCAGGACATTTTTCCTTCTTATCTGCAATGTAGCTCATATCAGCCAAGCTGTCACAAGACAGTACTTGATATAAACAAGAGATTGCAAAGACATCTCAGTAATCAATATTAGGATGGCTACAGTATGGAAGCCCCAACCACTGCATATCATTTGTCTCAGCATCTATTTCTATGACCAAATGAAGCATTAATTCAAATCATAAATCTATGGTGATTTAAATCTGGGAATGAGCACCTGCCTGCTTTAATGATTTATTTTGTACATTTCAGTAAGCAGGAGATTTGTCCATATGAACTGACAGGTCACCTTCAGATGCCAGTAGCAGGCTGTTTATCACCATGCAGACTAGCATCTCATCTTAGCAAGTAAATATTAAACTAAAAGAATCCAATTGATTGTGGATGGGGGAGAAAGGCGTTGCAGCCATATATTTTACTCAGTGTGCTAATACCTCACTCTGATTCCTCTGTAATTTCTTTTTTTTTTTCCTTTTTTCCCCCTTTCTAAAATGATAATTCTGGTGGGAGGATGCAAGCTCAAGGTTACCATACAAAACTGAGGGATATAAAATAATTACTTATTAGTATCATTGGCTTCCTTTAACTCCCTTCACTCACTAACCTTTTGGCCATTGCTTCAAAGGACCAAGTTAATACATTTGTGTAGTGCTCTGTATAATTATACAATGTTCATCTACAAAAATGACTTCTATAATTCACATTAAGCATCTGATTAAAACCAAAAAGCAAGACAATTCAGAAGTAAACCTGACAATTCAACCCAAGAGCTCATATGTTATTTATCTTCTTTTACATAGGCATTGGAACAGCCTAAGAACATGGTATGATCAATCCATGTACACTAATATACCATAATGCCCATTATATATGGGCTAAGATGTATCAGTTAAGCTTTTAGCCTGGCTGGTTACTTTGTTTGTTCCTTTTCAGTTAGGTCAGGCACATAACATAATTTAAAATGTAAACCAAAATCAGGTTATTTTCTTTTGGTTTATTCCTTCTTCCTGTCAACATTCAGTAACGTAATATTTCAAATTCGTGCCTAACAAGCCATAATTTAAAACATTAATGGTATATGGACGTGATAATATTTATTTGAAAAGACATAAATAAACATCTGAAAAAATGCAGGGGAAAAAACTTCACACACCTACTACAAAGCAACACCTTTGAAATACGAGTTCTTGCCAAGATAATACAATATGCTAATGTTCAAAAAAGCAACTAATAAATAGAGACTTAACTCTTAATTAACCTAATAATATCCTGGCATTATTAGTAGCAGGAATCACTTATCTGGTTCCATAGGCATAACTGACTCTGGATACTAGACAGGGCTTACTATAAAAGAAACAAATAAATGCAAACTAATTTTGAGAAAACCTCCACAGGAAGTGTATAGCTCAAGACTGAATGCATAGAGAAACACACTGTATGTCCAGAATGGAATGGAGACAACTGGAACGCTATTCACTCTACTCAGAAGAGCCATATTTTCTGAACAAAATGAACTCCATTCTTCATTCAGTTAAATTGGGAAATTAAGTGAAGTTAACAAGTAAGTTAAGGGGCTGAAAGGAAATTTTGACAATGACAATACATAATATTGCTTCACTAACTTTGCCCTCCTAAAATAGCTAGAATGTATTTTCTTACAGGGAAAATTATTAAGATGTACAAGAGCAGATTAGTTATCTAAATCATGCCTCAAACAATGATTTCAAAATATTTTTTTTCTTTTTTATTCAGAGGAAATTCAGATATGGTCTCCATCCACTCTCCTACAAATAATTCACACGGTTTAGGTGTTGGTTACCTGTTAAGTTTTCCATTTCCATGGATGTACAAGTGGTTTGTCACTAGAACTGCCAAGCAAGATAACAGTTCTAGTTCAGTATTTGACCATTTTATTTCACATAATGCATTCGACTAAGTCTGAAATTCAAATCTAAACTAGCTTCTAGTTCTAGCACAAACTCTATCCTCCCAGTTTTTTACTCCTTCTCATTTCTTCACTTTTCTTCCAGTATGTTAGGGGCCACCTGGTCCTTCCACTTCATTTGTACCTATCTCCTTCTTCCAGATTTGAAAGACACCTGCTCTCTACTTGCTCTTGTCTTCTCTCCAAGAGGACAATCTTTCCACTAATATTCTAGTGACTGCACATGCTGGTATCTTAGTACTAACATAACTAATTTAAGACTATTATTTTCTTCATCATCACAGAGGCATTTTTTTAATCCTTTCTGTAAAAGGAAAACAAAAAATCTGATTGTCTCCTTACGCAGTAATGCATACACATTGTTATTATTTCAAATAGCGTGTGCCTAGGTGAACCAGTTCTTTCAACTGCAATTCACATTATTTCTAAATAATAGCCTACCGATGCCTACCGAACTGTACAGAACTGCTGTTCACAAACATGTATTTATTTACGTTAAGGCTAGTACATAACTCTCTAAGACTCATTTCAAATGTATTCAGGAGATGAAAAACTAAAAAATAAACAAAACTCAATAAAAGAGCCAAAATAAAAACAAACAAAAAATCCCTATCTTAAGCCATTTTTTTCCAATATACACCAATCTTGCCTGCAGTCTTCTGAATGTACTTCTTTGTCATTGAATTTCTGTTGCTGAGTTAATACTGTCTCAACATGATAAAAGGAGCCAATACAATGAAATGGCATAACAAAACATTTTACAGCAGACACACACAGATGATTAAAGATTTAATCAACAACAACAAAAAGTTACTCTAGCTTTGAAGTATGCTTTAGCAAAACAAATCGTCCAAACAAATGAATAAAGTATACTGAAACAATTCTTTTTTGAGAAAGAACAAGAGTTGCTGATGGCTGCTTAAGAAATGGAAAAACCTGTTAACTACATTTTAAGAATGTGTTTATTAAAATAAAATATGATAGGAACTGCAGAGCATGGCAATAATTTATTGTGTATGTATGTTTTCCTTTTGTCACAGGGCACATGAAAGTATGAAATATTTTGCTTTCAAGCTTGTGTTCTGAATTACCTAAAGTCGATACCCAGCACACTGAGCAGGAGACATTGTTAAATTTCACTTTGACACCATCATCTGTCACCCCACCTGTACTTTGAAAAATGAACTCTAAGCAATCAAACCACTTTCTTTCATGGAAAATATTAACTGGAGTCTGCAAAAGTAACCTGCAAAGGAAAGAATGCTTTTGTAATAGTAAGAACAATGCTGAACGCTGGTGTAAAGGTCAGATACAAAATAAAACTAAAAACAGTAAGAAAGGGAAAACAAATATGCAACTCTTTGCACCAAATCAAGGACTTCAGAAGGAAGTCCAGAAGGATCACCATTTTAATAAAATATTAGAGCATTATGGACATATAATTATCCTGTGTTAAGACTTACCGACACTTGAATTCAGATCTCCATTTTCAGAGTCTGCTCCATGCTGGTTATTATTTGCATGATAGTTGGACATAGCTTCCAGTTTAATTTTTTTCACTTTCATTGCTTCTGCTAGGGCAGCATTGGGGGCAGCTGCTGCCGCTGCAGCTGCTGCTGTCAGACCTGCAAAGAAGTATGAACAAAATTTAATATATATTATTCTATGATTCTTCATTATTGAAGGGACTAACTAACTTCCTTTCTACTTGCTACATAATGAATGGAGAACATTGTAGAGTATTATTCCTCATTTGATTTGAAGTTTGTCAACTTTTTCAAGTAAAATGTTTCTCATGCTATTTAGATAATTATTCCTCTACGTCCACCTAAACCTTAACTTGGTCCAATAACGACAGTCATAACACAATCATAACTAACTGGAGATATAAATACATGCTTTCAGAAATCTAATTTAGCTGCGAAATAGTGTCTTAAGTGTCTGGCTATGAATAGGTGAACATGTACATAACTGTACTTAGAAAAAAACAACTTTTAGATCTCAAATGTTTGCCATGCTAAAGAAAACTGAAAAAATCAGGTATATAATTTCTATTTAAGAGTAACAGATGAAAGAACTCAGACATTTATTTCTCATTTCACACATAACTGCAAGGAGATGTGGGCATTCTAGGAAGAAGAAAGAAAGGTTAGTAATGCTGACCATCGGTGAAATACTTATTTTGCTTTCCCCAAAACTTCAAGGCATTAAAGCATTTACAAATGAGAAGAGGAATTATTAAACCCGTTTAACACCAATCCCAAAGCCGTCTTCAGACAATCCAACCTGAAGATGTTGCACCTGAAGTGCTCTTCCTACCAAACCAAATTTCTGCCATCCATCCATTGACAAGAATATTCTACAAAAACGAGAAAAGTTCTCTTTGTCAAAAGCAATTAGAGAAATGGTCCAGCAACGTCTTCAAAACTCAACATTAAATACGGTCTTTACTCAACGTCGTAAGGTTTTGCTCTCTTCCCTGAGGCAGGATAATTTTTCTGCAGTCCCCAAACAGTGCTGCTACCCACTCAGATCCCTTTACCCCAGCCTGGGTGGTAGAGATGGAAACTAAAGAGAATTAAACATAAAAAAAATAAAGAGAAAGCATTAAACCAGGTAAGTTTTATGCAATTCGGCAATCTCAGTCCTCAGGCTGTGATGCTACGTGAGGAGAACAGACCCTCAGTCATTTTGAATCAAGATTCTTGCCCTGACCATGGTGAAGGCTTGAAAAAATTCAGTGTAATTAGTTTAAAGGTGCCTGCTTGTCTGATTTTCAGCTACTCTGAGAGGTGTGAAGTGTCTTATGGATCTCAAGAGGAATTAACTGCACAACTTACTACTCTAGTGGGCCCAGGCTGCAACCCAGCACAGGAAGAGTGCAATTTAGCAGGAAAGACCAAATAAGCAAATAATCCCAAACTGCTGAGGTAAATATTGCTACCACCTTCCAAGAGCCCCTGGTTGTCTCCGTTGCCTCCTCAAATGGAAAATGAGTTCACTCGTGCCATGTTTTCAGCTAGCAATGGGGAGAGACAGAAGGCAAAATCCAGCAGAGAGAAGGCAGAAAGTGAATGGAGATCAGGAATCTCCCAGGGAAGACAATGAGATGGCGTAAGAGGTGCCTTTGCATGTATTGTGGCTTGACTCAAGGTTGTTTTCCTTTATTTCTTTGCCTGACCACATAAAGGTTAGCAAACAGTTCCAGCCTCCCAACGCTCCTCACAGGCTGACTTCTAACACCTCCAAGTGCAATGAGAATTACCAAGTCTGTGATAATTACATTCTGCATAGGCAAATCAATATTATTTAGAAAATTGCTATTTCAGGTAGAAGAAGATGTACCGAAAGCCAAAAATCAAATCAGAAGGTGGATAAATACAAGGGGTTCATTTTATTTTAGCTGCTTCTACTATTACAAATTGTGCATGTTCTAATCTTAAGAAGCGATTGACAATAATATGGATTGCTTCCAATGATGTTTTTAACTTAGAGGAAGGATATGAAGTTATACGTTATACAAATTTGGTTACAGTCCCTAAATTAGGCCACAAAAAAAGGGACAGTGCACCTCTGAACTTTGGTTTGCATCCTGTGCTCATTAAACAATACAATAACCTATACTTCCTTTTTTTATATACATCACTGACAAGCTAAAACTAGCATCTTTAAAGAACAATCCTTCGGAGGAATATTCAAACACGATACAACTAATGAATACAACAGCAGGCCTCAAACTTTTGGCTGTCACTGCACTTCCAGGCCAGCAGTTTTTAAGTGCTTCCAAAAATACTGTATTAAACAAACACTGGACATTGGGCTTGTGAGCCCACCTGTAAATATTATGTCTCACTGGGGTAATGACCCAGTCACAGAACCATTAAAATACAAACTCTCTTTTGCTACAAAATTTGCAAAAGAGTATACTTCAGTGCTTCTCTCCAAAGTAGGCCATAACGCTTCTCTCTAGAGGAAACCATAGCTTTGGATAAGGATTGGGAAACTAAAATACAGATTGCTAAGTTCTGCAGTACAATTTTCGCAAGATAATGCTTCTGACAATAAATGATAATTTAAAAAAGCAGAAATTAAACTACTAATTTCATTCCTTCCCTCATACAACCACATAAGTGATTGAAACGATTACTTTGCTATACAGCAATTAATTTAAACTGTACGAATCTGAAACACGTGTCTCCTATAAGCACCAGTGTAAGTGGAGGGGAAATGTGAGTAAGGAATAATCCTCATGATTATTGCTTAATGCTGTTCCTCACAGCAATTCCAGCCTACAGCACAGTTTCTGTTTTACTGTTATTTTTTCCTATCCCTTTACTATCATGATATAGCAAAGCAAGTGGTAAGGAAGGTCCCAAGCCAATTACTAGATCCCCTTGTATTGTAATCACTGGTGCACTGTGGTATATACTACGGTATAGCACCAGACAAAACTTTCTCTCTAGTACAGGGCCTGACTTATCTCACTTATCTCACTAGCAAAGGCAGCTGAATGTATTATAAACAGAAGAGGTTAATAAGCTGCTATGTATCTATATGTATATTTTAAAATTCTAAACTTTAAAGTTCAGGTATGAATATATACTTGGGTAAATACTTGGGATTTTTTTTTTTAATTGGTTGTTTGAGAAAGCCTTGTGACCTAAACGTTATTTAATATCATTTTACTCTTACAACAAGTAGCCAAGGAATTTCTGAGGTGCAGACTTTTCTACACTATAGAAATTTTATCTTCACGTATGAGATAACCAGAAGTCACCTATGAAGGCAACTGAAATGAAAGAAATAAGGATCACACTGATCAGCCACTTAGATATTTTTTATTCTTTACAAATATTTATTCAAACAGTTAAAAAGTATCCAGGCCAAAATATTCAATGGATTAAAGTCAATGGTAGTTGTCATTAATATTCTGAAATTGATAAGTTGTTTATGTCTGG